CCGTGAGCCCCCGCGAGAGCCCATGAGCCCCTGTGAGACCCCGTGAGTCCCCGTGAGCCTCTGTGAGCCCCCGCGGGACCCAATGAGCCTCTGTGAGCCCCTGTGAGACTGTGAGCCCCCGCGAGACTCCGTGAGCCTCTGTGAGCCCCCGTGAGCTCCCGCGAGACCCCGTGAGCCCCCTTGAGCCCCCGTGAGACCCCATGAGCCCCTGTGAGCCCCTGTGAGGCCCCGTGAGCCCCTGTGAGGCCCCGCGAGACTCCGTGAGCCCCTGTGAGACCCCGTGAGCCCCTGTGAGCCCCCGCGAGCCCCCGCGAGCCCCCGCGAGCCCCCGTGAGCCCTGTGAGCCCCCGCGAGACCCCGTGAGCCTCTGTGAGACCCTGTGAGACCCCGTGAGAGCCCTGCTTAGGTTCTATGACTTAGATTGGTGTCCCAGGCCCTTCACTGGAAGCCTTGCCTGCCTATAAAAGGTGACTAGATTGGGCTCTAAACCCCCCATTACTAGAATTCCTTGTTAGTTAACATGTATTATCCTCTGAGTTCCTTTTGCACTGGGCTTCCACATCCCCTCCCCCAACAAGTGAACCCAGTTCCAGTCAACTCTCTCCTTCCACCCCTCATTTACCCACCTGATCCCTCCTATTTCCACCCACCTGCCCCCAGTCCACCTAGAAAATCTATTTCCCCTTCCCAGGGAGATCTGAGTGTCCCCCCCATGAACTATTCTTGTTACCTGGTCTCTCAGAGTCTGTGGATTGTATCATGGTTATCCTTCGTTTTACATCTAATACCCACTTATGAATGAGGACATACTGTGTTTGTCTTTCAGGGTCTGGTTACCTCACTCAGGACGATTTTTTCCAGCTCCGTCCATTTGCCCGAAAATTTCATAATGTTATACTTTTAGCAGCTGAGTAGTACTCCATTGTGTAGAATGTACATTTTCTTTATCCATTCTTCAGTTGAGAAACATCTAGGAGAATGCACCATTTCAAAATGAATAACTCAGAAAAATAGAGAGAGAAAGTATAATACTCATTCAGGTAGTTTTTCCCTGTTCCCAAATGACCCAATTAACAGTTTTAGATGTGAAAAGCAAGATCATCAGCTACATTATAAGCTCATGCCTGAGCACGCGCAGGGTCACGGCTGTCCCAGGCACTACTGTTCCTGCCCAATGTCTCTCATCTTTATTCAGCCCCCGGAAAGGTGAATCTGCACGCTCCATCTCAGTCCCACACTGAGATTCATGCTCACAGTGAGAAGGGCTGGCTGGGAGTCTGCCAGCACTGCCTCTGAAAGACGAATGTCTCTGAGATTGATGGCTCAGTGATCTCTTTGGGGGTTGTATAAAAATATTGATTATGTTGCAGAAAATAGGCTCTGGGGTTCAGAAATAGGTGTTTTCTTTAAAATAATCCAGAAGCAGGAGAATAAATCAATGCACAGGGCATCAAAGACACCATAACTATCATAGCTTCAACAGATTTGGCTTGTGTATGGAAAAACTAATACCTTGGTGAAATAATAAAAACTGTTATCTTCAGATGCTAAAAACAGAAGCCAGAGTTTTCTTCTAGTGCCTACTTTGCAATTGTACCAAATCCCTAACTTTAGCACACATGTATTGCTGAAACCCATGAGGAAGACTGCCAGGCAGCATTTCTGCCAGGTGAGGTTTTGTTTTCCTACTTCAAAACCACCGATAGAAATGTTGTATGAGATATTTCGGGTTTGACAGCCGAAGCTGACAAAAGTATTCTTGCTTAGTGTTTTGTTTTGTTGTGATTTCAATACAAATTTCCATACACAGTAATACAACTCTGTTTAAACCTGTTCTGAAGTATTTCCAATTGTCTTGAACACCACTCATTCTAGTTTATGACAGAGAGAAGCAGCAGAGATCTTGCTGAAAGGATAGCTCAGTATTTGTAGGCATCAATTTTGATTAGTTAAATGGAACAGTCAATTTCCTATGGCAGCTTTCTTTGCTTTGAAGGATTCATAAAAGGCTCTGTTAGGGTGGCCACCCCTCGGTCACACAGAGCATTACTCCAAAGAGACAGTATCCTAGAGGTGTAAGCAGGGGTTGGAACATGAGGATCATCCCAATTGTTGATGAGTGCTTGTTCTGAGATTGTCCTGAGATGGTTGGTCAGTGGATGTGATTGGAACGGACACACTGTTGCTCTTGGGAGATCTGAGGACTGAGTATGGTAGAATATTTTCCTTCCTCAGGCCTCAGTTTCCCCTTATGAAAACTGTGTTTTTAAGCTGCTTTTTAACCCATGTGATCTCTGGATTCTCTCTATCTCTGTTTGGCTCTCTGTCGCTGTCTCTCTGTTTCTGTTTCTCTCTTCAATAAGGTGTCCTTCCTTGGGGGCCATGGGAATGAGCATGTTAAGCCCTCTAGTTACATTAGGACTAAGCGGTGCTCTTCACTGCACTAGCAAGATTGGTTTATGTAAAATGGGTGCTGCACTGGATGCCACAGACCGCACTGGGCACGAGTGTGGTTTTTTTCAGCGTTTCTGCAGTAGGAGCTTGGACTGGGGATGTAAGGACAAGAGCTGAGCATAGGGGGAATGGTTCCTTTCTTGTAGTTGTAGACTTCGGACTCTTCCAGCAGAGGATGGGCCAAACTGCTCTCATAGACAGCTTCCAAAGTTAACAGGATGAATGAGAAATAGGCAGACACTGGATTTGTACTGTGGGGACTCCAGGGTTTTCCTCTGAGAGAATAGACTATGGCCTTTGCACCTGCTTCTGAGAGCCTGTCTTGCGTTCATAGTCACAATGGCTGAGATCAGCATCTCCACTGGTCCTAGGCATCTTCAAAAGATGAGAAGACCGGTCCATCAATTCACAGAGAGTATCATTAAGGCTTCTGCTGGCTTCAGAGTGTGATTGCTAGAGATGGGGCTGCCATACTCAGATTTTAATTGTGTACAACACAAAATACAAATCAAGTTACTTCTGAAATGCCCAGGAGCCAAATAGTATGCTTCCTGAAACCTGCTGACTAGTTCGCTAGCTCTCATCTGCCTGGTCTTATTCCTGGCTCTAGAAGCAATGAATGACACAGCTCTGATTATTTATGTTCTCAGCCCACAAGACATTTCCTGATGACACTCAGAGAAACTTCATGAAAATTAACTTCTTTTATGGAAAGCTTTTCCCTCTTTCTGCTTTTCACTGTGCTCTGTGCTGCCTATGAGCTTATAGGATCCCTGTGTTGAATTGTTTTCTCCTCCCTGCTGCTCAGCCTTTTCAGATGACTCAGCTGGTGACAGCAGCAAGGCACACCATCCATAGGAACTCAGCATATATACACTCAGAGTTTTGCCTCATTGGAACCAAGCCAAAAAGCGGCATCTGGAGGCCATTCTTGTAATCCCTTATATACTTTCGGGAAAGTGGATTTAACCACCTTTGCAATGAATGGCAGCCACCGAGGAGGGTTGCTTGGGTTATGCAGCTCCTTTAGGGACAGTCACCTGTGCTTTGTTACAAAGTGTTTATTCTCATGACATTGAACTGTCCACTCATTTTGATCAGTTCTGAAATAGGCACAGTAGAAGGCAGTAGTAGGAAACCTTTACAAGGTTATAATCATGTGGAAGGAACTAAGTGGCCGTTGTTGGGCAATGTTCAGTGAAAGAAGTGGGAAATGAAATGATGTCACACGTGCCTCAGTAGTGGGCACTTCAAAGCTAAAGATGCAACTGTCCATGTCCGTATTTAAACAGAATACTCTTAAATGCAGCCTGGCCACCTTTTCTTATCTTAGCTCTTCATCTTTAGCGTCCGAAAGTGTCTATCTCTAACCATCATTTTTGTGGCTACATTGTAGTTTAAGAATGTACTCTAAATTATTTAATTTTCTATTGATAGACTTTTAGTATCTTCTGAGTTTTCCCTTTTAAATGTTGAACTGTGCAGTAATGAAGCTAACTAAATAGCTTCCTAGTATAATTATATAAAAGGCTACTATAGGCCAACGTTAAATGCATTTAAGGTCTCCAATTATCCATCTCTAAGTTGACCTCCAACATATAATAAATTTGGTGCCCCAACCCAATTCCAAAAGAAGTGGAAAAGAATCATTTAACAAAGTTCAATCAAGATAAGGTTAAAGCCTGGTGACTTTGAATTCTTTATTATCTAGTGCCAGTGAAGGTTCAGATTTTTTATTGATGCTTTAATGAAAAGATTTTATAATAAAGCCTTCTTAAAGTATCGTTTCATGACAATTATTTTGTGTTTCTTTCCCACTCTGTCTTCTGAATTAATTTATATCTTTCCTCTGTGTTTCCCTTTAGGATGGACATGTGATGTGATGGGTGTGACTATGGGACACTGTGTGGGCACAAGGCCTCCTTCATGCCTCCTCCTGCTGCTGCTGAAGCTGCTGGCCACTGTCTCCCAGGGACTGCCAGGAACAGGGCCCCTGGGCTTCCACTTCACACATTCCATGTACAATGCTACAGTGTATGAAAACTCAGCAGCGAGGACCTATGTCAACAGCCAAAGCAGAATGGGCATCACCTTAATAGACCTATCCTGGGACATCAAGTACAGAATAGTGTCTGGTGACGAGGAAGGTTTCTTCAAAGCTGAGGAGGTCATCATTGCAGATTTCTGCTTTCTCAGGATAAGAACTAAAGGTGGCAATTCTGCCATATTAAACAGGGAAATCCAAGACAATTATTTATTAATCATAAAAGGTTCAGTCCGAGGAGAAGATTTGGAAGCATGGACCAAAGTGAACATCCAGGTTTTAGACATGAACGACCTGAGGCCTCTGTTCTCACCTACCACTTACTCAGTCACCATTGCAGAAAGCACACCACTTAGGACTAGCGTTGCCCAGGTAACGGCTACAGATGCAGACATTGGTTCCAATGGAGAATTCTACTACTTCTTTAAGAACAAGGTTGAGCTTTTTTCCGTCCACCCCACAAGTGGTGTCATCTCTCTAAGTGGACGCTTAAATTATGATGAGAAGAACAGGTATGATCTAGAAATCTTAGCAGTGGACCGGGGAATGAAACTCTATGGCAATAACGGAGTTAGCAGTACTGCTAAGCTTTATGTTCACATTGAACGCGTAAATGAACATGCTCCCATTATCCATGTGGTCACTCACACCCCTTTCTCATTGGACAAGGAGCCAACATACGCAGTAGTGACAGTTGACGACTTGGATGAGGGGGCCAATGGAGAGATTGAGTCTGTTTCCATCGTGGCTGGAGATCCTTTGGATCAGTTCTTCCTGGCTAAAGAAGGCAAGTGGATGAATGAGTATAAAGTCAAGGAGAGGAGGCAGGTGAACTGGGAGAGCTTCTCCTATGGCTACAACCTCACTATTCAAGCAAAAGACAAAGGGTCACCGCAGAAGTTTTCAGAACTAAAGACGGTCCACATTGCCAATCCCAAGAGAGACAACATCCCACTTAGGTTTGAAAAAGATGTGTATGAAGTCAGCGTAAGTGAGTTTTCCCCTCCTGGTGTCCTGGTGGCCATAGTCAAGGTAAATCCTGAGCCTCTGGATGTGGAATACAAACTCTCTCCTGGAAAAGATGCCGAGTACTTCAAGATCAACCCTCGGTCAGGTCTGATTGTCACAGCGCAGCCCCTGAATATGGTGAAGAAAGACGTGTATAAGCTGGAGGTGACAGACAAGGAAGGAGAGGTGAAGGCACAAGTCACCATAGGGATTGAGGATGCCAATGACCACACCCCAGAATTCCAGCAGACCCTGTATGAGACGTTTGTGAATGAGAGTATCCCTGTCGGAACAAATGTTCTGACCGTGTCGGCCTCTGACAAGGATAAAGGAGAAAATGGCTACATCACGTACAGCATTGCCAGTCTGAACCCTTTGCCATTTGCCATTAACCAGTTCACAGGTGTGATCAGCACCACTGAAGAGTTAGATTTCGAATCCTCCCCAGAGACATACAGGTTTGTTGTAAGAGCTTCTGACTGGGGCTCACCGTACCGCCATGAAAGTGAGGTGAACGTGACCATTCGCGTGGGAAATGTCAATGACAACATCCCCCTCTTCGAGAAAGTGGCTTGCCAGGGAGTCATTTCATACGACTTTCCTGTTGGAGGTCATATTACAGCCGTCTCTGCGATTGATATTGATGAACTCGAACTTGTAAAGTACAAAATCATTTCAGGAAATGAACTTGGGTTCTTCTATTTGAACCCAGACTCTGGTGTTTTACAGCTTAAAAAGCCACTGATGAATTCTGGCATTAAAAATGGTAATTTTGCCCTCAGAATCACAGCTACAGATGGGGAGAATTTTGCAGATCCCATGACCATTAACATCTCAGTCCTCCACGGGAAAGTGTCTTCAAAGAGCTTCAGCTGCAGAGAAACCCGAGTGGCTCAGAAATTGGCAGAGAAACTACTCATTAAAGCTAAAGCTAACGGGAAGCTGAATGTAGAAGATGGATTTCTTGACTTTTATTCAATTAACAGGCAAGGACCACATTTTGACAAGTCTTTCCCCTCTGATGTGGCTGTGAAGGAGGATATGCCAGTTGGGACTAACATCCTGAAGATTAAAGCGTACGATGCCGACTCTGGCTTCAATGGGAAGGTGCTGTTTACAATATCAGATGGGAACACGGACAGTTGCTTTAATATTGACATGGAGACTGGACAGCTTAAAGTTCTCATGCCCATGGACCGAGAGCACACAGACCTCTATCTCCTCAACATAACCATCTATGACCTCGGAAAGCCACAGAAATCCTCATGGCGATTACTGACAGTCAATGTGGAGGACGCTAATGACAACAGCCCAGTGTTTCTCCAGGACAGCTACTCAGTCAGCATTCTTGAAAGTTCAAGTATTGGCACCGAGATTATTCAAGTGGAAGCAAGAGACAAAGACCTGGGTTCTAATGGTGAGGTAATGTACTCGGTTTTGACAGACACACGGCAGTTTACCATCAACAGCTCAACTGGAATCGTTTATGTAGCTGACCAGTTGGACAGGGAATCCAAAACCAACTATTCTTTGAAAATAGAAGCCAGGGACAAAGCAGAAAGTGGCCAGCAACTGTTTTCTGTTGTCACCCTAAAGATCTTTCTGGATGATGTCAATGACTGCTCCCCAGCTTTCATCCCCACTAGCTACAGTGTGAAGGTTCTGGAAGATCTCCCTGTTGGTACAGTCATTGCTTGGCTTGAGACTCAGGATCCTGACCTTGGATTAGGGGGTCAAGTGCGCTATTCTTTGGTCAATGATTATAATGGGAGATTTGAAATAGACAAAGCCAGTGGTGCCATCCGCTTGAGCAAAGAGCTGGACTATGAGAAGCAGCAATTCTACAACCTCACAGTCAGGGCCAAAGACAAAGGGCGGCCTGTCTCTCTGTCATCGGTTTCCTTCGTGGAGGTGGAGGTGGTGGATGTCAACGAAAACCTCCATATGCCCTACTTCCCGGACTTTGCTGTCGTTGGATCTGTCAAAGAAAATTCACGGATTGGAACTAGTGTGCTGCAGGTGACTGCCCATGATGAAGATTCTGGCAGGGATGGAGAGATCCAGTACTCCATCAGAGATGGAAGTGGTCTTGGGAGGTTCAGCATAGATGATGAGAGTGGTAAGTGTGAGGTTTTGACTCAGTGTCTCCTTTCACCTCTTCTGTCTGCCGGTGCTGGAGATGGGTGTGTGTCGGGGCTTCAGAACAGATGAGGAAGGTTCTCTATTAGAGGAAGCAAGGCACAGAGCATGAACCATGTCTTAGAGTGGCTTGGTTTCTGAGTAGATCAGCCCACACCATACCCAGTGTGTCTCCTATTTGTGTTGTATTGTGTTTTCTTGTTGGGCATGACTATTCTGAGACTATCTTCTGAGAAACTTTTGCCATTATTGCCCCTGGTGATTGGATTCCTGACCCTCACCAAATGAATGGCCCTGATACAGTAATTACATTTGAATTAGTTTTAAATTAGAAGTATGAAATTGATTTTCAAATGCATCTTATATGCGAATCTTTCCTTTTCCAGTAAAGCTTTGCTGTAGGGAATTATTGCTTGGTGTTTAATGTTGAACGGGTACATCCAGCCCTTGAACAATGGGCATTCATCCTCTGTCATGAGCAGGTGACTTAAAAAGCATTTCTATAAGAGAAGAGAATTGTGCTGTAAAGTCTAGTCATAGAAACTTGGTTATAAGACATCTTTGACTATTAGTAGTTTATTTTTATATCTTTTTTCTTTTATTGAAAATATCTGGGATTTTTGTATAACACATTATTTATAATTGATTTTATAAATGTTTTAAAATGCAGAGCAAATTTGGCAAATATTTTATTGCCCAAATCTATCTACTTAACTTCTATCATAGATAGCAGCAAAACATTTTTAAAAATGCTTGCTATTGTTATCATCTGTACAAATGTTAATATGCCTAGACACTTGTGTATATGTATATGTGCATGAATGTTTGTATGTCCCTTTCCGTGTGTGAGTTTGTACCGGTGTGTTTTCGGACATGTTTGTGTACATGCACGTGTGTGTGCGCATGCATGTATCTTCTATTGTTCATACCACATATTTTTCTCGTGTTAGTAGATTCTAAATATTTCAAAAGAAGAAAATGCGTCTTCTCTGCTGTTGTGAGTGGTGGCATTAGTGTGTTCTGTTTTCAGGACCAATATGTACATATTAACTAATTTTCTACAACAGTCATAGAATTGCTTGCTATCTATCTTATTCAGTTTTAGGCTGTTTTAAAAGTTGTGTACCACCATGGGTGTCTTTAAAAGACATAATTCTCATAGCTGTGGATGCTGGAGGCCTAAGGTCAATATAGCCACATGGTCAAGGCATAGGTCCTCTTCTGAACTTGTGGACTTAGATCTTGCTATGCCCCCAAAGAGGGGGCTTTAGTTTCCTCCTGCAATGAGCAATTTTAGGTGCATGTCACTGGGAGAAGGTACAGCTAAGTCCTTGACTGCTGCTGTCAGGGCTTCAGTAATTCAGCCAATTAGGAAGCTACAGCTTGGGCTTGATGCAAATAGCCAAGGGCAGGAGAAGTTGTCAAGAGTAGCCTATGCTTTGCCCATATGCTCTATGGTTATTGTTTTTACTTGAGTTTTTATTTTAGAAAATGACTCCAATCATTTAATATCCTTGTTGTTAGAAACTCCCCACCAAACAAAACAAAAAACTACAAATAAATCCTCAGTAGTTAATATCTGTTTCATTGTAATCTGAACTTTGAAAAATAGACTTTTTTGTTTATAAAAATAATGTCAATTGTGTTGTAACACTACTTGATAAATTAAAAGTTCATTTGATGTGAACAGTAGCTCCACTGGGTCAAAGCTAAGTGAACTGTGAAGGTTGTCTTTACATTAAATGTGGAAGTCAGCCGAACTATGGACCTGCATCCCCGAGACTGAACACAGTACTATTTCCCACATTCATTCTGTGTTTCTGAGATCTTTTCTCTGAACACCTGTAAAGGTATAGCAAGTGTCCTTCCCCCTTTTATCTCATTTTCTTCTCTTAGACAATGGAAGCCTCCTTTATATCTCTTAGAAACAATGCCTGGATATGAAGCTGAAGAGTAGAATTCTCATAATATTCTACATCCTATTTCTTCCTTGGGTCTCACTGACCCTGACTTTCAGGATCTAAGCCCAGGAGCTCCTGAGTAATTGCTGTGTGCACTTATGCCTTGGTCCAGGGGTCTGGAAAGGTTACAACAAAAAGCTGCCAGCACACTGTTCATAGGCCCACGTGATTCTAAGGATCCATCTGCTCTTTGCCCTTAAGTGTGGACAGGCATCACCAGAACAAAGACTGAGAGAGTGGTACCTGAACCTGGCAGCATTTCCTGAGTCTCGGGCCTATCCTTTTCTGTGCCCTTACATCCCATGAAAGAGACATGATCTTTGCTTGTTTTTATTTTTGCCTTTTAAAAGTTTGAAGTCAGCTGCCAAAGGTTACACGTTGTCCTGTATTACTCACCAGCCTTCAGATTTGGAGCAAGAATCCCGGAGATTTGTTTACAATGTGTGATCCCTGGCAAGGCCTCAGACCATAAAGTGGGTAGATCTTGGGTGAGCTGAGAAACTTCATGTCAATGTTGTAAGTACTCCTGCCACACGGGCTTTGTAAGTACGTCCAAACCCTAAGTCCCAAGAAAGGGGCGGACAGAGTCTGCATTTTCTAAGGTCTTTTTTTTTTTCATCCATTTAAAAGGCAGATGATTTAACTCAGGTACACATTTCTTTTCTAATCATATCTTATAATTCAAGTAAACCTTTTTATTATTCCTCAGTGGTAATCTTTTTCTGAATGTCTTTCTGATGGTTCCTAAACCTATCTGTGTTTCAGTCATTATGGGAGGTTGTACCTCATGAGAGGAAGTGTATGGGATAGGTAATGCACTTCCTAGATTGCAGGAGCTTGTACCTCATGAGGGGAAGTGTTTGAGAGATTTCATAGATTTATGGTCTTGACTTTTTGGCAGTCAAAGCACAAAACTACACCTTTAAAATTCTTCTCCATGCACCAGCATTTATGAAATGTTTAATAATATTCACAGTAGCTGGATTAACTCTCCTCATGCTACATTGAGTCTGATCACAGTTTAAATCACTAGTGTGTAAGATGCGATTTAATCAGTTTTTCCTTCACAAAGAATTCTTACTCTTTGGCACAACAGGAATCCATATGCATGAGAGGTATAACATTGCTCTCAAAATAATACAATGTATGTTTTAAACTGTGAATTTATATCAGATTGTTTCGTACATCACAAACTACAGTACATATTTTATTAATTTGCTTACTTGAGGTTAATTAAAGAAATATTTAATGAAGACAAACTAATCCTACCTTGGACGTTAGTCAGAGATAATTGAGAAGATGTTGTATTATCCATCATTACTATTTATTTCTTCCACTCACTGAATCTCTATAAAGGGCCAGACCCAGGAGAAGGTGCTATCAAAGTCAATGAGGTAGTGTCAAAGGCTTTCCCATTCAGGATCACGTATCTGGTTGCTAGCAGTTCTGAGATTTGAAACCCAGCAGAAATATTCTCAGTGTTACACCATTCCCCTCCCTGCACCCAACAAGCCATCATATGCAGTCCCTGTGTCTTCCTCTTGAGAAGGGATGCTGGACTCAGAGAGATGCTCAGAGACTCCATGCAGAACCTTCTGATGTTCTGAAAGTCAGAGCACAGCCCTAGGACAAGCTCAGCACTGATTTGTGACAAAGAAAGACAGTCAAGAAGTCCCTGAAAGTCAACATCCACCCAGAATCCATGTATTGGGATCTAGTAGCCATTGGGAGTAGTGTGACGAGGTGGGTTTTGTGGCAAGGCTCCACTCTCATAAACAGGACATAAACCTTAGGACAATAGCACAAGTGGATTTTCCCCCTTTCTATTGTGTGAGAGTACCATTGGAGAAACCATCTACGAAGAACAGGCACTTGCCAGACTTTGGGTCAATTCTCACATTGATTTTGAACTTGCCAGTTTCTAAACTCGTAAGCAGTATTTTTGTGTTTGTCGATAAACTGTACAGCATAAGGTGTTTTGTTATAGACGTCCAAGTGGATGACAGCTCCTTTACTAAAGGAGAGAGAAGACAAATAAATCGTTGCTAAATGATGGCCCAGTGAAGCAGTGGTGAGAACAGAGACTATTACCTATCTCATCTCACGTGAGCTGATTTTACCTAAGGGAGAAACACAGGGAAGACACTAGTGATATGAAAGAGATGGACTTCCCATAGTGGTGGCCTTTCCAGAATGTTCCAGGACAGCAACACTAATGTTCATTTATGTGACACATTTTTCTTAACATACTCCCAGGTCCCAGGAGCCATGGTTTGCTTCCTCTAGATTTTTCTCCTCTGATGTTGCAGGGGAAGCTCACAGGCAAAGAAGGGTCTGAGACATAATAATTATTTAAAACTTTGTTGCTCTTTTAGACAATCTATTCCAACAACCAATAAATAAAACTTTATGAGTTTATAGGTATGTTCACTTGACTCTTCAAATCCACTTTGTATCCTGTTGTGTGTCCAGAAGACTATGGGCAAGTTCGATTTTTTGTTCTCTGACATTATGTGAAGTGTGAGGAAACCTGGGTTCAGGGTATTTCTTCTTTGGTCTCTTTTCATACTAGGTGCTTTGGGCATTTCATGGTGATTGGGCTATCATTAGTCCTGGAATATTAAATATAAACTGTTGACTTTTCTTGACCTTTGTTCTGTTGACTTTTCTGCCTTTGTTCGTGGAGCATTGAGTATATGCTTCTTCCTCAGTTTAGTAATGTGAGCTGTCTGCCTTCTTCCAGGACCCTAACTTGTAAAATATTCTTCTTAGGCTAATGCTTTTAAAACAGATTTAAGTTTAAATGTATTTTAAAGACTCTTTTCCAGCAAGTTTTATTAAGTGTGGTTTCCATAACCCTGATATGATGGATTGCAGGCAGCGTGGAGGTGATAGCTATCTATTTCAAAGGGAGGAAAGAAAAGTAGGTCCTTACCTTGCCATCTGGCTCCTGCCCTGCTTCTCCACCATCACAAATGGACACCGTTTGCTTTACTAAAGACCCAATCCAACCAGCTGC